CTATTATTATTATTATTATTATGCCTTTATATTTTTACTACTCTTGTAAGTACTGTGATAACTTATAAACATTATATTCAGGATTATGAAATTAACCTTTCATCTGTATTCAGTACAACATATTAGTCATCTGGAAAATAACACTTGAATTTATACCTCCACTTAAATTCCAGCTTTACAAAGATTTGAATGTAAAAAATAAAATTATTGAAGTATTATAAGATACATAGGATAATTTTTAATATTTTCTCAGCAAGGAGAATATTTCTAATTTTAAACCAATCTTAGAAACCATAAAAGAAAACCCTGATATTTCACTCAATTGTGTAAAATTAAAAAAAAAAAAAGATCTCCATGAGAAAAAGATAAAAGTCAAGATACAAAGCAGTCTGGGGAAAAGATTGTAATTCATATCAGAGAAATGGCTAATTTTCTTAATATGTAAAGAGCCCAAACTAACCACTAGGAAAAGAGACAAATAACCTACCAGTAAACTAGCTAAGGATATTTTTAAAAATTATTTTTTGAGACAGAGTCTTGCTAAGTTGCTGAGGCTGGCCTCAAACTTTCCAAGTTGCTGATATTACTGGCATCTACCACTGTACCTGACTGGCTAAGGATATTTTTTAAAAAATCATACAGTGGTTCTTTAATATGAAAAGATGATCAACGTAATTCATAATAAGAGAAATGCAAATTAAATGACAGTGAATAGCATTTTTCACCCCTTATATTGGCAAGTATAAACAATGAACATACTATGTTGAATTAGGGGTTGATAGTAAGATGAAATAGAAATTTTCAAACATTTTGGTGAAAGGATAAATTAATATGACTCCCATGGAAAGGAATTCACCAATTTCCCCCGCCCCCCCAAAAAAACATGTAAACACTTTGATTACAGCAATTCTATTAAGTAATTCATTTTAAAGATCATTATTTTTACACATGCAAAACGAGAAATGCATAAGTATGTTTAATGCAGCATTGTTTGTGATAACAAAAATAGAAAACATCATAAGTATCCAGTAGGGATCTGATTAAGTAAATTATCATAGTTTCATACTTTGCGATACTGTACAGCTTTTATCAAGTACAAAATTGGTCTCTAGGTACTGATATAATCTGTAATCTGTAAAGTAATTTTTATTGAGGCATAATATTTGTACATCTTTATGAGGTACAGTATGATAATTTGGTACATGTATACAATATAATGATCAAATCAGAGTAATAAGCACTTCATCTCCTCAAATGTCAATGGTTTCTACATGTTGTAAACTTCCATGGTCTTCTTTTTAAGTTATTTTGAAATATATGATAGATGGTTGTAACCAATAGTTATATCTTCCTGTGCAATAGAAAATTGGTAGTAATTTCTCCTATGTTTTTTTATAATTAGTATATTTAATTGTGTTTTTATTAATGTATAATCATACATAATAGTGGGCTTATTGTGACATATTCCTATGTGTACTTAACATAATTTGCTCCATTTCATTCCCTAATAGTTCCCTTTTCTTTTCCCTCCTCCCTCCCACTGATTTCCTTCCTCTGCTCTACTGGTCTTCCATCCATGTATTTTTTTAAATTAGTGCATTATAATTATACATAAAAGTGGAATTCATTGTAATATATTCATACATGCACATAGTATAATTTGCTCAACTTCCTTGCACAATTCTTCCCCTTACTCTTCTTGCAAACTGTTGCTATCCCCCTCCCCTCACCCCTCCCAGTCTCTACTGACCACTATTTCACTCCATTCTTCGGAGATCAACTTTTTAGTTTTCACAAAGAGGGAGAACTTGTGGTATCTATCTTTCTGTGGTAAAATAAATTTTAAAGTGAAAGATGCAAATGTTGTGTATAATAAGCTACCATTTATGTAAAAATATAATATATACTTTCCTATATATAGGATATTTCTGAATAAAAAACATGAATAGGGTTATCTGAGGAGGAGCACTAGGTGGCTGGGAAGACCTAAGTTTCATTATATTCCCTTTGTATCTCAAATATTGCATTTGAGTATATTACTAATTCAAAACTTGTAATCTCCATCAATAGTCACCTGATCCGAGTTTGAAAATGACAAAATCTTAGACCTGGATGGGACTTTGGAGGTTAGATTGTCTGGTCTTTTTTATTAATGCAATAGTCTTGTCTACTATGGGAGCAGCAGCTACTCTTTTACATTCTTGAACATTTCTATTCATGGGAAACTACACCCTGTGGAAACATTTTGTTCTACTTTTGGATATATTTAGTTCATTCCTTCACTGATTAATGTGACTAATACTTATTAAATACCTAATAGGCTCTTGGCATTGTGTGACTATTGTAATTCTTTCATTATACAGACTCTGACATGTCTTTTTTTTTGGCATTCATTTATTTTAATTCTCTCTTCCAAAGAATCACATGGGCATTCTTTAGCAACCAGAGAATACATACTCTGTGTGAAATATACTCTGCTGACTATTTTATGTCTCATATGAAATACGGAATAGTTTTCAGACCATGGCTCAACTTGGCAAATTTTACCTATTTTTTTTTGTGTAACTTTCTGCACTGTGGTGTTCTGAACTGATTTCAACTATTCCAGAGTGGTCAGATGAGCAGAAAACAGAAATATTTTGGTCTGGGTTCTATATTTTTATAAATACAGCCTAATATGTTAATTTTTGTTAGCAACTTTGTTAAGAGGTTCAAGTTGATTTCACAATCAAGAAAAGTAAGTAAAACTGAAAAGACAAATTACTGAGTTAGGAAAATTATGCAAACCATATTTCTGATAAGGAACTTCTATCCAAAATATAGAAAGAGGAATTGCAACTCAACAGTAAATAGACGTATAATAAATAGACAAATAGCTCAACAACATTGCAGATGGTCAATAAGCACTTGGAAATATGCTTGCCTCTTTAGGCATTAAGGAAATACATACTGAAATTATCAAAACCACTTCACACACAAGCCTGTTATCAGCTAGGACTTTGTTAGGTGCTGGCAACATGAGGGTAAAAATGACATGTTCTCCACCTGAGTCTTTAGACTAACAGTCTGTGAGGAGACACATACATTCAATGTGGTAAGGTATCCACAGCAGGAACAAGGGAGACTGTTGAGGAAGGTCAGGGGACAAGGAGAACCTAACACATCAAACTACATATGTCATATTTACCTATCCTGTAAGATTTAAGTGCTCTGTGGTATTTTTATGATCTTCCAATTTCAATCTCAATAAAGAAAAAAATAACCTACGTGTAATGAATTTGGCATACTTTGTGCGACCATTTTTGTCTCCAGTTGACACTTCTTTCTGACTGCTTGAAAGCCATCTCTTTCATTATTTCTTAAATAATTTTGCAAGAGCTTGGCATATGGATTGAAAACCATAATAAACTAGGAATAATAAGAAAAAAGAATAAGCCAATTCACAAAAAGAAGTCAGAAGAGGGGAAGTAGAACTGTAGCAGGCAGAGTGTAAAACTGACATTTTACATTGTGCCTAGGCTACCTTGGGCTCCTTGAGACAGTGAGTTTGTAGAATTCTTCTGCTGCTATTACCTCCCCTTCCTCCTTTTTCTTAAAATGATTTCAGTTTTTGATGCTTGCTATTGAAATACTCCCAGCTACTACAGCTGTATTGCCTCATGCACTGTCTTTGGTGTGTGTGTACTGGGGAATGACCACTGAGGCGCCCTCGACCATTGAGCCACATCCCCAGTCCTATTTTGTATTTTATTTAGAGACAGGGTCTTACAAAGTTGCTTAGCATCTCACTTTTGCTGAGGCTGGCTTTCCTCAGCCTCCCGAGCTGCTGGGATTACAGGTGTTCACCACCACACCTGGCTCTCATGCACTTTTCTAAGAACATATGCACCTTCTTAAAATGCAGGGAGACTTCCCCCATTTTTTCTCTTAGCTCTGTCTCTTTTGAACCAGACATTCTCATCTTCATTGCTACCCATTTCTTCTTTTTTCTTTTACATTGTTCACTCCATCCAGAACACACTCATCTTCAAAATCCTAATTACGCTTTAAGACTTACATTGGATAACTGAATAAAGCATAAAGCCTTTCCCAAGTTTTCCTTAAAAAAAAAAAAAGAATGTTTTTTGAACTCTCTTAACATTCTATTTGTCTTTCTCTGACTTTTTAAAAAAATTGAACCCAGGGCCTTGTGCCTGCTGAATAAACACTCTTATATTCTCAGTCCCTTGTACTTCTCAATTGACCCTCTTTTTGGAAGTAAATATTTTGAACACCAGGCATTGTGCCTTCTTTACTTTTAAAAATATCCATCCCTACTGCTAATAGGCCAGGCCTAGTTCTTTGTATGTGGTACTTGTTCGATATGTTTTTCTTACAGGATTTATAAATATGCCATATTTAGTTTGAATTGGCAAATTGAAATTATCCTACCACATATCATAGTTATGCAAATGGTAAAAAATAGCTTGGAACTGAAGACTTGTGTGACAGAGAGGAAGAAGTCTAGTGGGGAAAACTGCAGGAGATGAGAATGAACACAAAGACATAGGCCAGAGCAGGCAGAGCCTATTGGCCTCTCAAGTACTGTGGTTTTTATTCTGGTGAGATGGCAGCCATTAGAGAGTTGGGTAGAAGAGTTTTGTGTTAAGAACTTTCAAGGATCTCAGGGTTGCTCTACTAGTGAATATATTGAAAAAGGAGACAAGGGCTAACGTGGGTAAACCAGTTAGAAATCTATCACAGTAATGTAGGCAAGACAAACAGCAACATGGACCAGAATGATAGCAATGGAAATGACCAGAAGTGATTGATTCTGGGTATGTAAAGAGAAAGAGTTGTCTCAATTCCCTATACTCAGGCAGCAAATGAGCAAATTAGAAAGTTCAATGGTATTGATTCAAAATAGCTCTTGTACAGTATTCCTATTTTTAAAATAAGTTCTAATACCAAAGAGTTTTAATAACATGTAGGAACTCACTTCCTTCTACCCGAGTGGCAAGATGGGGAAAGTCAGCAGTATTAATCTGCTGCTGGTAGAGCCGATGTGGGCTTTGAAGTTCTGTAGACCCATGTGCATCCTTCTGCTTTTACCTACTACCTATGTGACTCAGGTGAGCAATACCAATACTCTTTGTTTTTATGTGTAGGAGAGGTATGGTAATAAAATAAAATAATGTGCATAAAGAGGCCAGCATAGTGCCTGACACAGAGTAAGCACACACTCAAGTCAGCTTCCTTCCCTTTTCCCTCTCAATATAGACCTCTACCTCTGCCTAGGAATCCTTTCCATGTACAGTGGAAAACTGAAATCTTAAATGTAACCCTTGTTGTTTCTATAATTATAGAAAATTCATTTCAGAAACAGGATAATGGAAAATAAATACTTTCCTAGGAAAAATGTTCGAGTCTGATAATTATCCTATCTAGTTTATTGTTGAAACTAATATTTTTATCTATGATTTTAAATGGATAAGTCTCTTGCATTAGAGACTTAAAAGTATAAGTTTATTGTGTTAGAGACTTGGAAGTGGAGTTGTCTTCCAAAAATGTCATTGGGTTTCACTAAATATCTTCCTCTTAGATAAAGATTCTTTTCCTGCATAGTAAGATTTCATAAAGGTGAAAGAAAGTATAAGGAACTCGTGGGACATTTGCAAAGTTAGGCTAGGTCATTTTATATTCTGGGAAAGAAATCAAGAAAATATGCCACTCCATCACTTAAAAAAGTCTAACCATATAACATACAAACCTCAACAATTTCCTCTTACATTTATGTACTCACCACATTTAGATCTCTCTCTTCCTCTCCCTTCCCCTCTACTCATACAATAGCAAGCTCTGAGGGAGTATAACTTGTATATCCCAAGGTCATTTTATTTGGCTCAGGTGGTTTTTAGAAGGTCATGCTAGAATAGCTGCTTGTTCTAAACTTTTCAAAAGTTCCTGTGAGATAGTTATGTTCATCTTATACCTAGATTTTTAAAAAATTAGTGGATTAGAAATTAATTCATCTAGTCATTACTCTCTGTAAAAACTAAAAAAAAAAAAAATTGTTAGTTTTCCCAGTTGCTAACTTTTGGATTGCCCACAACTTGGTCCTTTCTTGTGTTCATTTCCTACTGTAACGATGCTTCCCTCTGCAGCCAGGAGTATCTGCTAGTTACAGGGTGCACGTGACTCACATGCTCCTTCCTTTGAGTCACTCTCCTGACCAATCTTAGCCTGAATTTTTTCCAGATGATGTCTCTTCTTCATGATATTTCCTTTCTTATTTCAAAATACTCCTTAAAACTACATGTGACCATCCTGGTCTAGACGGCCCTGAATAATTCCAATAAGCTCCAAGAAAACAGGCATTTATTAAAAGTGATGTTATTAGGTCTTTTATCATTAGAAATAGATGATGTTTCTAGCACAGAATTTGGGGCTGGGATGCATTTTAGAGATTATTCAGTGTGATCTCTTTATTTTCCAGATGAAGAGGACCGAGGTCCACAGATCTTACCTCACTTAGGATCGGAAGTCCAGTTTCTTGACTCCTACTTCAGTGTTCTTCCTACCACCCCATAATCTGTTTTGTAGTTATCTCCCTTCCCCAGTACAATTATTTTAATCTAGTTATTAGCACAGTCTAATTAGCTGTGTGATAATATTAGAGAGTCTTTCTTACATCACTTAATAGCTGTTAATATTTGGAAGTCACTTAACCTCTTTGGGTCTTACTTTCTTCAGTTGTGAAACAGGTATAGTAAGAGTAGTTACATCATGGGGTCATTATGAGTACTCACTGAAATGATCTATGCACCTGGCATGTAATAATAAATATTAGTGGTGATATTGATGATGATGAATATTGTGGTGAGCGCAAAATAACACTTGAACTGGGTTTGTCCTTTGGTTGGTCTACTGGTTCTTCTCCTGCCTTCCTTAAACTTGCTCTTTCTTCTGAGGCTGTCACAAAGGGCAATTTGCATCTTTATTGTAGCTTATGGCATGAGGTTCAGAACAAAGGAAGCTGAGAATATTAGGATTAGCCACAGAGGCAGTGAATAGGTATGGACCACTTGTCAGAGATGATGTTAGAAAAATGAGTGAAACTTAATTCTTGCCTTCAGAGAATAAGAAATTTAGTCAGAAAGTCAAATCTAAAACCCCAGGAACAAAGTATAATTAAGTACCCAGACTTTCAGTGACTTGAAGTGCAGCATCTGGTTGGAAAAAGAGCTAAGCCTGGACTTGATTGATCAGGGAAGATTTCTGGTGACAAGGGACTTGAGACAAGACCTGGAGTCTCACATGATATAGGGTGCTGTTTTGGTTTAGCTATGAGGTGTTCCCCAAAAGCTGATGTGTGAGACAATGCAAGAAAGTTTAGAGGTGAAGTGAATGGCTTATGAGAGCCTTAACATAATCAGTGTGTTAATCCACTGATAGGGGTTAACTGGATGGTAACCGTAGGCAGGTAGGGTATGACTGGAGGGGTGGGTCACTAGGGTCATGCTTTTGGGATCTATATTTTATCTGTGGTGAGAGGAGTCTCTCTATCTCTCTCTCTGCTTCCTTGTCCCATGTTCTGACCTGCTCTCCTTACCACACTCTTCTGTCATGATGTTCTACCTCACCTCAAGCCCAAAGCAATGGAGTTGGCCATCTATGGACTGAGACCTCTGAAACCATGAGCCTCAAGTAAACTTTTTCTCCTCTAAAATTGTTATTGTCAGGTCTTTCATTCATAGCCATGAAAAAGACGACTAAAACAGGTACATATATCAGTGTGGGGATACTTGGTGGAATGCTCTGGGAACACAAAGGAGCATAGTATTATCATTCCTTTTTAATTTACTGTAATGCAAAGCTTTGGCTCCTTCTCAGATTCTTCCTTCCCTTAGATATGTTTATCCAATCAGCTACTCAGTCCTTCCCTTCAACATTTTTTCTCCCTTCTATGTCCACTACTATTTCCTCCATTTAGATTCTAATTCTTCTTGCCTAAAGAGATGCTCAAATAGCCTCTGGTCAGTTTATCTCTAATTCTTCCTGGCTTCTGTCCACTCTTAGTACCCTTATCAGATACATCTTCCTAAAACACAGCACTGATGAGAATAATAACAGTTGCAGCACCTTGAACACCTAGTTAATCTCTACAGCCACCCAGGGCTAGTGTTATTTTCCCCTCTTATATAAGAAGGGTTCAGACTGAGAGTAGTTAAACAACTATCCCAAAGTTACCCAACTGATGAAAGTTGGATCCAGAATTGAAGCCTACCACATTCTGACTCCAAGGATCCATGCATTGCTCTGAACTATATTGCCTTCATTACTTCAAATCAACCGAACGCTGAAAATCCATGACTTGTTTATGGCCCCCTTTTATTTGGAGTCCTGCACTCTCATCACTGAGCAAAACTCAGGTCCTTTCCCAGATTATACCCCACATGTACATGTGTGAAACACACACACATATGTGGACCAGTCAGACATTTCATTAATTTAGGAAAATTTGAAGAGTTATCAGGAGCTTCACAATAGTGCCAATTTATGACTTTTTTTGCTCTGTCTCATGTATTAACCTTAAGTGTTTACCTATACCAATCTTGATTCTAGTATCAACAAAAATTCTCCTTTATCCTTCACAGGGCAGTGTTCTCCAAACTCAGGCCACAGAGTGGCCTATGCTTTGACCCCAAGAGGAATGTTGGTAAATAGCTTTTTCTCCCTCTTTCTACATCAGGAAGAACAAACTACTCTAAAACCCCGAGGTTATTTGTTTTGAAGATAGAGTTTTAAGTGGAAAGAAAGTTCATACTTTGGTCTAAAATACAGTCACTTCCTGTATTCTGGGAGCTGGACCTTTGATTAGGTTATTTGAAAACCTCAATAGGGAATATGCTAGGGGATATGCCCTTGAACTGCTTAGTCTTATGGGGGATAGACATGCCCACAGATAATAAATAACACTACAGCTGGCATGTTCTACATTAGGAATAAACACAGAGGAGGTATTCTTAAACTAATTTGAGAGATCAGACTTTCTGGAGAAAGTGGGATTCAAGTTGAGCTTGAAAGATACCTAGAAGTTATACAAATATAGAAGGGGAGTAAGTACATCTAAGATGGAACAATATAAAGGCAAGGAGGAGTGAAATAACATTTACATTAAAAAAGGAGCGATTCACTGTTTAGAAGAACAGGAAGACGTGAGTGGAGAATTTGGAAGGTGTCAGGTCTTGGAGGCCCTTGTTTGCCATGTCAAGAGGCTTGGACAGTGTCCTGGAGGTAATGGAGAGATAGTGAAGCATTCTAACCCAGGGCAATGGTATGTTCAGATTTGTCATTGGGATCACGTTCAGTCAGGGTCTCTGAGGTGAAGGACAGATTTGAGACTGGTGGAGAGATCTGGAGACTGATGCTGTCAGGCAGATTGCGATGGGCTTCAGACTTAGGTTTGAAGCAGAGAAATGTCGAGGAAATCTCTACTGGCAGGTCTAAGTAATAGGAGGATGGTGGGGGCGAGCTGAAAAGGACAAGGTCATGGTGACTGGAGGTGCCTGTGTTTGCTGGGGCCTGTCTGGTGCTCATCACTGAGATGAAGATAATGAATATAGTTTTAGATGTGCTAAGTCTCAGTTGCCCTTGAATGCTCAAATGGAGAAATGGTAATTATTCACTCTCTCACTTCCTTAAGTCCCTTACTAAAATATCAACTTCACTAAGGCCTTCTCTGCACACCACTCACCCAGGAATGACATCCCTGCCTCCTGTGCATGTGGTTTTCTCTATATTACCACCCAATTACATTTTTTAAATTAATTTTTTGTTTTAACTAGTTGTACATGGCAGTAAAATGCACTTATGCACTATGATATATCATACATTAGTATAATTTCTCATTTTTATGATTGTACATGTTGTAGAATCATATTCATCATGTAGTCATATATGTACATAAGGAGATAATGTCTATTTCATTCTACTATCCTTTATATCCCCATATTCCCACCTCTCCCTTCACTCTTCTCTACCTAATCTAAAGTAACTCTATTCTTCCCTATTTCCCCCAACTCTTATCGTGAATTAGCATCTGCGTATCAGAGAAAACATTCGGGCTTTG